CACACACACCAAACCTTCCTATGACTCACTGGGCTTTGCCCCTGTTGACCCTCCATCCTACGTCCACTCCCTCCATGCTCTCTCATCAGTGACACAGACACAGGAAGAGAGAAAGAGAGGTCACATCCACATGCCCCAGACCAACGCTGGCCAGCTTCCCTCCCCAGGTAGGCCCTACCCTGGCAGGGCAGAAGTAGAGTCATTAACCCTCCCTCTACTATAGCCATATAGTGCAGGCCTCTGTGTGGTCAGTAATAACTTACAGGAAATGAGAGGTGCTTTTTACCAGAAAAATGATCTGTGTGTGTTTGTGTCTACAGGGGGTGTAGTTAATGCCCCTAATATTTTCTCTTAGCCAGATGACTTGTACCATCTGTAGTAGACAGCAGCTGTTGCCAATTGAAGGGAGAGTGGGGGGCGTTGCCTGCCATCACACAGATTGTTATGGCGCTGGACAGACACCACTCAACTAATGGGCCTGTATCTACATGAACATGTACAGATGTGCCTTAGTGAGTGTGTGTATGTCCCTGTGTGTGTTCGCTCGTTCCTGCACATACGTGTGAGACATGGAGGGAGAGCGATAGAGTGCCTTTGCATGCATGTGTGCAATAATTTCTAATCACGGTTTTGCGAAAACGCCAGAAATGACTGATACTGAAATGAAATCTCTCCCAATAGCTTCTGTATGACCTATGGTATACATAGAGATCATACAGATTAGAATAACAGGTTAAGTTGGAGTCAGAAGAAGTTGAACCGTGTACCCCAGGGTAAGCGGGTCAGATCAGGTGTGGTTGAGACAGACGAGACGAGGCTGACAGTAGGTTGCCACAGAGTTGCGGTGGCAGCCTTCTCACACCAACTCACTTCCTCTCGCTGCTAAGCTTCTCATGCGATGGTCTTTGTCTCACACACTCCTCTGTGTTCTCTGTGCCCTCTGTGTCTTCTGTGTTCTCTGTGTCCTCTGTGTCCTCTGTGTTCTCTGTGTCCTCTGTGTCCTCTGTGTTCTCTGTGTCCTCTGTGTCCTCTGTGTCCTCTGTGCCCTCTGTGTCCTCTGTGTTCTCTGTGTCCTCTGTGCCCTCTGTGTCCTCTGTGTCCTCTTTACTCTCTGTGTTCTCTGTGTTCTCTGTGTCCTCTGTGTCCTCTGTGTCCTCTGTGTTCTCTGTGTCCTCTGTGTCCTCTGTGTTCTCTGTGTCCTCTGTGTCCTCTGTGTCCTCTGTGTCCTCTGTATTCTCTGTGTCCTCTGTGTCCTCTGTGTCCTCTGTGTTCTCTGTGTCCTCTGTGTCCTCTGTGTCCTCTGTGTCCTCTGTGTCTTCTGTGATAGTTTTTCTTATTTCATTTCTCCTAGTTTTTCTAGTTTCTGTGTTGTTCTTCTCCTCTTTTCCCTGTTAGGTTATCTTGTCTGTATGCCGTTCTTATACACTCTCCAAACAGTATATCAATCCAATACTGCAGGCCTATAGGAGTTCAATAAACCATGCATACGTCATTTGGACTTCTGCTTATGTTAAGACGTACTTAAGACCAGGCAAGAGATAAACTGTACTCTCCCGCCCAGGTGGAATGACCAGTTGTTTTTGGATTCTCTCTCTCTCTCTCTCTCTCTCTCTCTCTCTCTCTCACACACACACTCCCCCTCTCCTTCCCTCTCTCTCCTTCCCTCTCTCTCCTTCCCTCTCTCCCGCCACTCCATTTCGCCCTCTCCCTCCCTCTCACCTTCCCTCCCTCTGTCCATGCTCTGGTTTTCACGAGACCCTCCCGTGGTTCCCAGAGGAGGAGTTGCAGGGCTTTCTGGGAGAGAGAGCTGTCAGATTAATAGATTTCCTTTTTCCTCTCTGTGATGCCAGAGGGCCAGAAAGCCCCTCCCTGCTGGGGACTCACTGCTGCTAAAAGCAACGTTTTTGTGTTTCGAAGGGGAAAGTGGTTGGGAGGAGGGTGTGTGCGTGTGTTGGGGGGGGGTGGGGGTTGCTTGTTTGAGTGTGTTTGTGGGGGGTTGCGTGTGTGTGTGTGTTTGCGTGCGTGCGAGTGTGGCATGCAACACACCCCATTGCCCTGTTCCCCTCTGTGTGTCTTAGCTTGTTTTCATTAGTCATAACAGTCATGGAGTAGGAACACTAAACACATACAGTATATGCCTCATGACTTTGCTCTCCATGCCATTAAACCTGTGGCTATGTATCTGGTATATTGGTGAGTCTAAGAACTTAATAAACAGTGCCACCTACCAACCAATACGTGTCCTGCAGCTGCGAGGAAGTTGCTTTAATTGAATAAAATGGCTCAGGGCTGACCTCTAGTGTTCTTATTGAAGTCACCATGCAGATTCTCTCTAATAAAAGATCCTTCATGATTCATGACAGCTGAGTCCGAAATATTAAACAGTCTAAACTGTGCTTATGACCGACTACTTTTAACTAAGCCTATGAAAAGCTCCTTTATTCAATAAGCTCTTCTGTATAACGATTTTAATGATACCTTTTCGTCTTTATTTGGTCATGGGGTTCCACATACACTGAGTGTACAAAACATTAGGAACACCTTCCTAATATTGAGTTGCACCCCCTTTTGCCATCAGAACAGCCTCAATTTGTCGGCGCATGGACTCTACAAGTTGTCGAAAGTGTTCCACAGGGATGCTGGCCCATGTTGACTCCAATGCTGCCCACAGTTGTGTCAAGTTGGCTGGATGTCCTTTGGGCGGTGGACCATTCTTGATACACATGGGAAACTGTTGAAAAAACCCAGCAGCGTTGCAGTTCTTGACACACTGAAACCGGTGCACCTGGTACCTACTACCATACCCCGTTCAAAAGCACTTAAATCTTTTGTCTTGCCCATTCACCCTCTGAACGGCACATACACAATCCATGTTTCAATTGTCTCATAGCTTTAAGGGATCATAGCTTTCACCTGGATGGACCTGGTCAGTCTATGTCCTAATGTTTTGTACACTCAGTGTATATTTTAAGCCCCAACTCTGAGGCTTTGTCATCACCCAGTGGATAAAGTTAGCATAGATAAAGTGGGGCATTGGTATGTGGGGTCTTTACTGCCAACCAAACAGCACCAAGTGTCTTTTTATGGCTTAGCGTAACAGCACCTTATCAACTTATCACCAAGACCTTGTTTAGCTGAATCAGGTAGTGCTGGGCTGAGAGAAAAGCCTGCGCACACTGTGGCCCTCCAGAACCAGGAGTTAATAACACTGTATTGAGCAGCACTTCTATATTCAATAACTACGGTAAGACTAAGGCAGTCTCCTTGAAGAAATCACTTAAGTGACATTGCTGAATTGAGGAAAGCTTCAATTTTACCTATTTTAACTAAGATCATTGATAGACCAGCATCCAATCAGCATCCAATCAATATCCCGGGCAACAGTTGTGGGTCTTTAACTTACAGTCTCAATGCTAGAAGTTTAAGGGGTTGTAATATGACTCTTGCTGAGTTCCTCAGCTATAAATACTCTCTCCTCTCCTCCCTCTTTATAACTATAACTGAGTGTCTCTAGGCCCCATGAATCTCCTGACATACAGTGGGGGAAAAAAGTATTTAGTCAGCCACCAATTGTGCAAGTTCTCCCACTTAAAGATGAGAGAGGCTGTTTTCGTTATCAAAGATTCAATCAGTCCTGTATTAGTCATGTCTGATGCTGTAACACATCGTCCGTGCTCTTTGGCCCAATAGGTTACATACAGTGGGGGGAAAAAGTACCAATTGTGCAAGTTCTCCCACTTAAAAAGATGAGAGAGGCCTGTAATTTTCATCATAGGTACACGTCAACTATGACAGACAAAATGAGAAAAAATTTCCAGAAAATCACATTGTAGGATTTTTTATGAATTTATTTGCAAATTATGGTGGAAAATAAGTATTTGGTCACCTACAAACAAGCAAGATTTCTGGCTCTCACAGAAGTTGAGCTGAGGGTTGAGGTGAATTTGTATGAAGCTGTTTCACTTAGTATAGAATCACTATCTGTGATCCTTAAATATCTGTAATTAGAGCTAATTAGGGTGTTTTTGTGACTGTGAATGGTAGCAACATTAGAGGGTGATATTTGCAGTGTACAAATAAATAATAGACTAATTATAGGTTTTAGAGTATAGCCTGTTTCAGACTGTGAATGGTAATAACATTTCATCAATTTACTTTTCCTCATGGGGTCAGCATTTATAATATCAGGCAGTTGTCTAAAATAGATCTCAGTCTGTGCTAATGTGCCAACAATATTCAAACGGACTAACTTCCTTAGACTTCTGTTAGTCAGCGATGCATCATGCATGTCTCTTCTCTGCTTACAGACATACCTGGTGCATTACCTCATTGAACCCATCCTGAACTATGAGGATAGCCCCCCAAGTACATGTGTCCCACATAGCCACAACACTTGGCTAGTTGTGGGATCACATCAGCTAACCACGGGGGTGTCTAGCCATCTGTAGCCTTCACTTCCAGTATGTCACCCCAGCCTAGCCAGCACCCCCAAATAGACAGGGGTGGGGCTCCAAACACACGTGTGACACACCAGGGACAATATTAGCCCGTTGATCTCATCCAACAGCCGTGACTCAGGATAGAGGGTGGAGGGTGGTAAGGTGACCCTTAGCTGTGGTACGACCAACCCGGCGCTGTGACCAATGAACCAATGACAAACACATAGGGGGGAAATAGAAGTGTCTGCCCGTAAAAACGTAAACAGCTTATGGCCATAAGCTCAGTTTAGCCCACTGACTCGTCGCAGGGCATTCTTGCCCCGTACCACTTACTGCCGCCTTCCCCCGTCCTTCTTTACTGAGCTCATGTGTTGTAAATAGGGAAACAAGGGGGAGGGTCATAGGGAGAGAGGGAGTATATAAGCCTGAGAGGTGCTGCCACAAGTTAAAAAACACTTGAGGAAGTAGCTCACCAACCAAGAGATCCTCACAGCAAGAGATCCAAGGAACTCACACTCTTCTTCTAAGCAGACCGGAAAGGAAAACAGAAAAAATAACAACATGACTCAGTCCGCCGCCCCAGCAATCAAGAGCATCTTTGGAAACGACCCTTTCTTCAGTCAGGAGAGGATGGTCTTCCCCCCCATGCACCACCAGGCCCTCTCCGGCATCCAGGAGGACTTCTTTCAGAGGAGGTCAAACCTGGCCAGTGATCTCCTCAAGGAGCTCCACGATGGGTTCCCCAGTATGCACCAGCTGCACGAGAGGGCCCACCTCCGAATGGGCTCCCCATTCCTGGAAAGGAGGATCACAGGAGTTCCAGCAGCAGCACAGAGCCAGGGCCTCAGCACGGAGGTGGCTGAGACAGGCCGGAGCCACAGCCCCCTGGCCCTGAGCCTAAACGCCCAGGGCTTCAACCCAGAAGACATCACAGTCAAGCTGGACGGACGGAGGCTAGCCGTGGTGGCCATGAAACAGGCCAAAGCAGAAGAGGCTAAATCCACCTCCTCTGCCACCTCTTCCTGCTCCTTCTCCTCCTCCTCGTCCCAACAGAAAGGCTTTGTCCAGAAGATTGACCTGCCTGCCCACCTTGACCTGACAGCCTTGACCTGCTCTCTGGGAGAAGATGGACAGCTGAGGATCGAAGCCCCCACAGCTGCCCCCCAGCTGGACGCCCCTATAGAGGAGCAGGAGGTCCCCCTCTGCTTCAGAACCTCCCTGGACGTACCCATCACCAAGAGCAACATGGAAGAGTCCATAACAGTGAAGACCTCAAAACCTTGAATTACATAGACTGTCTGAATATTTTTGTAAACATTTAATTGTATTATCAATCCAGTGGATTACATTGTGGAAAACGATTTATAATATGCCTATTTGAATAAATATTATTTAATAAAGACAATCTGATATTGAAATGATGGTTGCTAGATTTGTTGATGACAGTTGGGTTTTAAAATAGATAACTAGAAATAAGTGGTGGGTGTCCTGTCATTACCAGCATACTGCACATTTCAAACAGTCATGTGAACTGAATACTTTTACAGTCTGAAAAACACATGCAACCTTGCACTCTGCACCTCAAAACATATTTATCTCACTGACATCTGGATTAGGAGACAGATAACAACACAAGGTCTTTGGACAAAGACATTGTTGCTTGTCGCATTGGTAACATTCTGTGTTCACGTCTATCTGTATTGAAATCAGGGACGTAGGCATAGGTGGGCTTGGTAGACACAGGCCCACCCACTGGGAAACCACCCTATCAGATTGAGCAAAAACAAAACAAAAATGATTTCCTCCATCTTGCAGTATGAAGCATTCACCAACCTGAAGCTTGACCAAATGCTTCAAATACAAACTAGCACTCTAATTATAATTGAAACACTCCAAAGAAAGTAAGTGATTATGTTGTACTTGCTACTCTACACACTAAAAACAAATTATTCTATATAGCGCCAAATAAGGGTTATTTGGCTTTTAACCCTAGCGGATCCCTTTTTTGGTCCTGTATAGAACCTTTCTTTGAAAGTTCTATAAAGAACCACACACATAAGGTTCTAAATGGTACCTGTATGGTGCTATAAAGTACCCTTTCCTAAGGTTCTATAAAAACCATTCATAAAAGGTTCTATATAGCACCAAAAATGAGTTCCGTTATGATTACAACCCTTTCTGTGGCTATATAGAACCCTTTTTTATGGTTCTTTATGGAACCTTTATGGAGAAAGGTTCTATAAAGAACCTTCCTCAATCTCAAAGGTTCTTTGTAGATCCTTCTGAAGAAGCGTACAGGGTTTCTTATTCTGGTAAGCCATATGATATTGTTAAGTTGAATCAGGTGTGCTAGCCCTGCAATGGCTGGCGATCCCTGAGGAGAAAATTGAGAACCACTGATTTAGTCAACGGTTCTCAATTGACATAAGGCCATATGTGAGTCTTTCACAAAACACTGTCACTGGCCATAGTCATATATAACACATATATAACACAACAGATTAGATCAACTGGAATGAAACTCTCACTTGCACAAAAAGAGCTCTAAGCAAACCACCCCCAAAATATTTGAATGAGCAGCCACCCCTACATTTGAATTATCACTAAAAGAGCAAAGAACCCTTTTGTGAACTGCAAAGAACCATTTGAAGGACTATGAGAACCAAAGGGTTATTTGAGTCCTTATGGTTCCACATAGAACCATCACCCTTCCCAAAGAACCCTTGAGGAACCCGCCTTTCTCAGTGTGTTCCCTATACAAACACTACCTCTTCATTGTCAGATGATGGCGCCAGTACCCTATAATAAGGAATTTCCCATTACAGCTGCTGCATGTGTAATTCAATCAGTTATACTCTTCCAAACCTATTATTCTGTTAAAGTAATGGTTTGCTTCATATTTTCTGTTGAATAAATAATTTGCAACATTTGATTTGATCGCATCAGTTCTTATAGGCTCTGCATACTGTTTACTGGTAAAGACCATAGAAGTCTGTATAGATCCATGTTAACCTCTGGTAATGGTAAAAAAAACAAAGGGGTGCTCTGAGCAGAAATGCAAGCTGTCATTTGATTAATGCAGTGTAAGAGGCCTCTTCACTCTTTTTGTGTATCCCACCTATAATATTTTATTTCTTTATTTCTTTATTTAACCTTTATTTATCCAGGTTAGTCTCATCGAGATAAAATGTATTTTTCAAGAGAGACCTGGTCTAAATCTAGCTAATCTAGCTAGATTTGCATACACCCAATTAATTTGAATACACCACAATTCAATTCACTCTATGTGTACACCACAATTCACAAGACACACTGAACCTAGCCCAGATTTATATCAGTCTGGTTGTTACTGGTTGTGCAATGTGAACTACAAGAGAGCAGGGAGTCAAGTCACAAAAGTTGTAGCAAGTTATAGTCAAGCACTAATCATGGATACGTCCTATATAGCCACTGAAACAAATGTTCACCCAACCCAAAACTCACAGGCAACTTTTCAATGCTAACACACAACTGTTCACAACAGCACCTTCTCCCCTGACCCCAAAATAAAGACAACATTCAGTGCTAATGCTCACTTTACGGTCCCAGAATCCCCAGGCTTCTTGAATCCCTTTTCGATTCACCTCTAGAATCCCCTCTAGAATCCCTTTAAGGCTGATGACGAAGAATCTCCCAGTGACCAAGGTGTCAGAGAGGGTGAGACGCCAAACAGAAAACAGCATCTTAAGTCTCTACACTGGGGGAACTCAACACCAAGGAAAGGGGAAGAATAAAGAGCTTTAAATGCTACCATTACACCCAACTCCCTGAAGGGGCCTAAATTAGTATCTGTAAAGGTTCCTCTGACATTTGCTACCTGGGAGACACTATTTGTTGTCGCGCCATAACAGGGACAAAACACAGCAGTTAATATTTGATGAGTTCTGCCCGGGGCAACGGGACAGACCATATGAGGAGAAGAAGAAAGGAAATCACTTAAATCTTTAGCCTTATTGAAATGTCACCGAAATCAAAGATGTACATAATGAGAGCTAGCTGACCCTTTCTAATGTGTAAAGGCTAGGTAAATTGTTGTAGGTGAAAGAGGTGGTACATTAAGAGAGACATACTATTCAAGTGGCACAATTCTGTTTTTCACAAATGAATAGCTTTCACTGATTTTCAATGTGTTTCCATCGTTTTTTTTCTATCTCTGCCTTGCTTCTACCCAGGGATCATCTCATGTTAGATAGAGCACTTTCACAATGTTTTGGGGACACGAATAAAGGGTTCGCTGTCAATCCAAGTGGATAATCATCACCTGGAGGGTGGAACCAAAAATCTCAGGGACCCCGTTTCTCCCCAGTAAATATTGAACCTTGTACGACAACCTAAACCTAATGACACGGTCCACAGCCTGCCTGGCAGCTTGTATCATCTGGAAGAATATGTGGACAGCTTCATGTGTTGCTCTAAACTAGTTTCTGACTGGTATTGATTTTCAGCCCTGATGAGGTACAGAGAGTGCTGCTGCCACATCATCATCCTCCCAAAGTTTCAGTCAGTGTTGCTACCATAAACTGAACCCCCAACTCTCTCTGTCTCTCTCTCGCCATCTCTCTCTTTCTTTCTCTCTGAGAATGGTGTGGGTTGTTTTCATTATCTTCCACTATTCTACCCACAGCCTCATAACTACAGATCAATGTGCTGTAGATCTGTGATCGTCAATATTGTTTCTCATTGATGTTCAGTGGAGTAAGACTAAATGATCTTGCCCTTGTTATAAGGGCCCAGAGTTTTCCTGGCCAAGTCACATGAAAAACAGGAAAAACTCCCTGTCTTATACCTATAAACTAGATGAGCTTCACAAGGCTTTTAGATCTTCCTGACACAGTCTACAACCACCTTATAGATATGAACAAGATCCTACAAGATGGATACCTCACCATGACTGTCCATAATGATGTGGAATCATCTGTGGCGCCTGAGGTGGATGACCAGGCGGACAGACAGAGAATGTAATGTTATGCCTCAGCCCTCCACATACTCATCTGTGTAATCTGCCCTGAATGATGTGTTCTATCAGGACACAGGCATTTGGTCTTTGCTCCTGGTCTTGGGTTTGCTAGCTGGAGAGTGAAGCCATGAAGATAATGGTCTGGGAAGAGCTTTCAGAGGCTCAGTAATCTCTCTTGGACATATTCAGCGTGTAAACCGAAGAATCTCTAGGGACGGGATGGAATGTGTAGGATAACACGCAGCAGTAGTTCCGGTGTTTGGTAGTAGCATCAGTAGTTCCTGTTGCAGCGGTACAGTGGAGGCTTCGCACACCGGAACTCCCAATTTCTAACACGTATGGACCCAGAACTAGGTCAAGGCTGTCACTAGGTCAAGGCTGTCACTAGGTCAAGGCTGTCACTAGGTCAAGGCTGTCACTCAGCTGACCAAATTATGCAAGTTCTGGGTTAACTGAGATTAGATGCTCAGTGGTGTTGGTCAAGTGTGATTATCTTGCACTAATCTGACAGTATTATGAAAACACAGACATCCCTTTTATAGGTGTAGGACCTTTAAAAGGGGATACTGATGATGTAATCATGTCAACAGATATCTCCACCAGGTAGGGTACCTAATTTGGAGAGCGCAATGGGAAAACGTTATTGCCACCATCAGCTACTGCAGACCTGTGTAATATTAGATCATGTTGCTATTGGGCGTTTATGAGATGGTGGTATGACAAGGTCTGGAGCGCAACTCCCCGGGAGGTCCTGGATGTCATAGAGACGACAGCATGAAATGTGGTCTGCCGTGTCAAACCCAATGAGCTTCGCCATGGTGACAAATATGAACTGGTGATAAAGATGGATTCCGATGGCGTCTCGGTATGGCCAGGGCCAAGGCAGGGGGTCGAAGGCTGATTTGATTTGTCAGGCCATCTAGCCGATACAGGGGCGAGAGCAGGCAAGCGTTTAGCAGGGTCTCCAGTCCCTTACCTGGAGCTCACGGCACATTAGTGATGTTGGTGATAGCGCAGCCGCAGGTTGCAGACGCTGTGGCGAACTAAACTGAGCAGATAGACATGCGTGTGTTCCTGTGGGATTTTGAGGCTGCAGCATGTGACTCACGGGTTTAAAAAGATTTCCGCATTGACAAATCTTGAAACATTCATGGGGCCGGTGGCTATTACTGGTATGTAAGATAATAAATAACTATAAGCAGGTACTTTCACGCAAATCATAAAAAGGACAAACTAAGGAGGCGGATATGTAATATATATATATATATATATATATATATATATATAT